TAAGTCAATCTGAAATTAATACTTTACCTACTGAGGCATCTCCTTAGCCTGAGTTAATCAACTTTAAAATTTATAATATGCTAAAAAAAATTTCATTGAGCCTATCATGTTAGCACATGCCATTAATTCCAGCACCCGGGAGGCAGAGACAGGCAGAGCTCAGCCTAGTCTACAGAGAAAGTATCAGGACAGTCAGGACTGCACAGATAAACCCTGTCTCAAAAATGCATACACAAAATGATGATTCTTAAGAGTTTTCCAAGTGTTTTGCCTTCATCTTTTAAGTACAAAGTCATGTATGTCCTAACTCTTTGATATTCAATGATCCTTGTATTTCAGGGAATTTCTAAAGAAATTTTCAGTTACAGTTGATGCTATTCCTGATCATCATCCAGGTGAAGAAATATTTAATTTCCTCAATTCTGGAAAAATTTTCAATCAGTGTACCTTAGATTTAAGAGACTCTGGTTTTATCGGAGAAAGTCCTGTGGAAAAGCTTATTCTCAAGTAAGTAAATCATAAACATTTGGATTTTTTTTTCCTGTATAAAAATTCATTCTAAGGGCTAGAAAAGTAGCTCAATGATTAAGAACATTTAACTGCTCTTGGAGAGGACCGAGGTTCAATTCCCAGCACCTGCATGGTAGCTCAGAACTATACATAACTCCATTTCCAGAGGCTCTGACACTGTTCTGACCTTTGTGGACACCAGGCTTGTATGTAGTACATATACCTGCATGTATATAGTAGTCAGGGTGCTCTAGAGCAGTGTGACCTGTGTGTCATGACCCCTTTAGGGATCCCCTAAGACCATTGGGTAACACAGATATTTACAATTCATAAAAGTGGTAAGACTACAGTTATGAAGTATATATAAGAATAATTCTATGGTTGTGATCACCACAACATTAGGAACTGTATTAAAAGATCACAGCACTAAGAAGGTTGAGAACCACTGATCTAGAGCAGCAGAACTTACAAACTGAATCTGTAGGTATACAAAGGGTAGAATGGTTTACAGGCTGTGATCCAGCTACACCAACAATGGCTGTCAACAAAAGGAAGGTCCAGAAGTCCAGTTATTCAGTCCAAGAGGTTGGATGTCTTGCTGGTCTTCAGTGTACTCTGGAATCATGAAGAAGTAAGCTTTAATGCCAGTAAATGAATGAGCTTCCTAGGAAAACAAAAGCCAAAGCCAGGAGGTGAGGTAATCTTCTTCTATGCCCTTCATATAGGCTGGGAGGTAGGGAACACCTGAACCTTTAACCCCAGCACGAGGAAGCAGAAACAGGCAGATCTCTGTGAGTTTGAGGCCAGTGTGATTTACAGAGTAAGATGCAGGTCAGGCAGGGTTACACAGAGAAACCCTTTCTTGAAAAACAAAGGAAAAAGAAATTGGGCTTCCTACTTCAAATTATTTTATTTTATTAAGGGGGAAAAAAATCCCAAACATGGCTGGGGAGATGGCTCACAAGCAAAGAGCATTGGCTGCTCTTACAGAGAACCCAGATTCAAGTCCCAGTACTCATGTGGCAGGCAGCTCACAACTGTCTTAACTCCAGTTCTAGGGGATCTGACACCTAAACGTAGACCTATACAGGGAGGCAAAACACCAATGCACATGAAAATAAATAAATTTAAAAAATAAATAAATAAGGAAAAATCCCTCACAAGTGTCCCCAGCCATTTGGGTTTTTGTTAATTCCATGTATAGTCAAAGTGACAACCATGAATATCCATCACAGAGGAAAAGTACCCATACACATAAAATAAAATCTTTTTTTCAAAAGTTGCTCTAAAAAGTGTTTGATTGGGCCCCAAAGAGTCTGCTGCTGCCTTCCAAGTGTCAGCTTCAGTTTTCCTGCTGTTTACAGGGCTAGAAATAAAGCCAAAGGCCTCAAGCATAGTACATCCCCTACTTCTGTCAGTTAGGATTGAATACACATGGGATGTCTGGGGATGTAGCTTGGTTGGCAGAGATTATGTAGCATGTACAGAGCCCTGGGTTTGCTCTTCAGCACCACATGAACCAGAAGTGATGGCACGTGCTGGGTTAGGAAAAGTGAAAAAGCATTCCATGTTGTCTTCAACTTGCAAGTTTGAGGCCTGCCTGGGCTACAAGAGATACTATCTCAAAGTAGAGAACTGTGTATGTAAAATCCAGCCATGACAGTTCACAACTGTAATCCTAGAGTTGCTGAGCAGGAAGATGGCAAGTTTGGAGTCAACCCTGAGCCTATAGAGCAAGGCCTTTTCTCCAAATACATTCTCAGTACCACAAAAGGATGGTGTCAGCGGTGACAACAGTAATAACAGTGGCTGTCAGGATAGCTGGGCCTTGACCAAGGTTTTACTTCATGGCTAGGGAGTCCTGGCTCTAGTCTATTGTTTTTGCCATGTTTTTTCTCCACTAGTAGTATCTTACTGCTTTATTGTGTTGCAGTGCTAGCTTCCTGTTAAGATTCTCAGAAAGCACATGCAGCCTGAGCTTGCTTCTGCTTTTAGCTAATTGGATACTGTCAGCAGTACCACATATAGCAAGTGATTTTGCCCAGCTAAAGTCAGAATTTAGATACCACTGAGAAACTAAAACGTATACTGAGTAGACAGCTCTTAGGCTCTGCCCAGTGCTAGACTAGGATAATTGTTCTGAGTGTGCTGCATTTTGGTTCTGTAAAGACCATGTGAATTCTGGTGCTGAGTTTTAGAAAGTTCATCCCTAAACTGACAAAAACTCATGTTCTCAGACTCAGTAGACTCTGAGTATTGCATACAAATGTGTCTTTGTCCACAGAGGAGTGTGGAGCCCACAGAGTAAGTCAAATTGACATTGGTTATGTATAAACCTGTTCCATGTTAGTGTGGAATCCACCTCCATCGACTAAAGTTTGCTTACTCAATTCTCTGATTATGTCAGATGTGTTTGTGCTAGAGGTTTTTTCCCCGTGGATAACAATCACTGATTTTCTGTTTCCAGATCAGGAAAACAAGATCAGATTTTTTTGACAACCCAAGGCTTCCTTACCACTGCATACCATTATGTCCAGTGTCCTGTACCTGTGTTAAAGTGGCTGTTTCGGGTAAGAGAATTATTCGGGACTTATAGCAGGCACCTACTGTATTTTCTACTCAATAAACTCCTAGGCTCTAGCAAAATGACTCAGGAGTGAAGATGTTTACCACCAAACTTCACGGCCTTAGTTCAATGTCCAGGCCCCACATGGAAGAAGGAAAGAACCACCTCAAGAAAGTTGTGCTCTGGCCTCTACTTAGATCATGCACACACCCCATACACACTAAATAAATGGATAAATGATTCTTTTTTATTTTTTTCACTTTAAGCAGCAAAATATTACTCTAGCTATATTAAACCCATGATTTCTGGGGGAATAAAACGAGTCAGAAAGAGCCAGTGCTCTTTCTTAAGTTACCTATGTCCTGATATTCCCTATTCATACATGTCTAAGTGTGAATATGTGGGTGTGAGTGAAGGCACTTGTGGAGGCCAGAGGTGTCAGATTCCTTGAAGCTGGCATTACAGGTGATTGAGTCACCAGACCATGCATGCCAGGAACTGAATTCTAGTTCTCTATGAGTGCAGTACAAGTTCTTACTCTTAACCACTTAGCCATGTTGGCACCTCCTATGTAATTGTGTTTTTATGGAAACTCAACTAAATGTTTCTCTTCCATGTCCATATTTAATACTTAAATTCATTTATATGTCTTTGTTTTTGTTTAAATGATGTAGATTTTATATATTGCTTTGGTGTTCCTCTAGATATGTTAGACATGAATATAGATGTTTATTGCTCTGGACGTATCAAGAAGATAGTAATTTCGTATTTAATATAGTGGATTTTGGCAGAGCTGAAAGGTCATGGAGAGGGCTTTCAGTGTTACACTAGGTTCTCTGTTTACATTAGTGCCCAGTTAAGATAGAATTCTCCTTCCAAGGACACGATTCACAGCAAGTTTTGTCACTTGGGGTTTTTTTTTTGGTTTTTGGTTTTTGAAGACAGGGTTTCACTGTGTAGTCCTGGCCAGCCTGGAACTCTGTAGACCAGGTTGTCCTCCAACTCAAAAAGATCTGAGTGCCTCTGCCTCCCAAGTGCTGGGATTGAAGGCCACCACCACCCAACTCATGTCACGTTTTCCTCAGACTACTGGAATGTTCTATTTAAATAAAATTCTGGATTTATAGAAAATAATGGAAGTAAACCGTTTTTAAGTATAAAAAGATATTTTATACTATGCAAAAATTTACCCTACAGGCAGGAGAGATGTTTCTGTGTAAAATGCTTACTGCACAAGTACAAGAGGCCTAAGTTCAGATTCTGAGGATCCGTCTGCAGGCCAGGAGTGGCAATACATCTTTGTAACTCCTGTATACAGCTGGAAGTATATATAGGAAGATTGTGGGGCCTCACTGGCCAGCGATTCTAGCTGAATCAATAAGCTGCAGGTTCAGCAAGAGACTCTTTCTTAAAGAGTAAGATGAAATGGGCTAGGCAAGATGTCCCGGTTGGTAAGGGTGCTAGTCTCCAGAAACCATATGGTAGGAGACAGCAGACTCCTGAGGTTGTCCTCTGACCTCCACTGGCTTGCCATGGTATACACGTGTTGCCTTCCACCCCCAATAAGAAAATAAGGTCAGAGTGATACAGGAAGACTACTAGTGGTCACCTTTGCCTTAACAGGGTGATTATGCCTTCATGTACATACTCACAAAAGTCTTGCCCTGGAAATCCTATCTCCTTTTAAAGACAGTCTCATTATGTAGTCCTTACTGGCCTGGAACTCTCTGTGTAGACCAGGCCTCAAAGATCTACCAACCTGTTCTTGGAAGGGCTCGGTAAGGTGACTCAGCAATTAAGAATGCAGCTGCTTTTGCAGAGATCCAGGTATTGTTGTTATCAGAAAACTCTATTACATGTTGTCTTAATCAGTGGTGTTTTGCTCTGAAGAGACACCATAACTACAGCAACTCTTATAAAGGAAAATGTTTAACTGGGGCTTACTTGTAGTTCAAAGTCTTAGTCCATTATCATCATGTTGTGAAGTATGGCAGCATGCAGGCAGATATGATGATAGAGAGAGGTAGCTGAGAGTTTTACATCTGAATCGGCAGGCAGCAGGGAGAGTGACACTGGGCCTGGCTAGAGCATATGAAACCTCAAAATCCTCCCCCATACCTACTCCATCAAAGTCACACCTCCTAATAATGCTACTCCCTATGAGCCTGTGGGGACCGTCACACTTGTGAACTAAGATTTAGGGGAAATATGGCATTTCTACTCTGGACATTGGAAGCATGTCAGGAAATAACCTACTTGGCAAGACTCTAGAGACATTCTAGTATACTCTTTCATTATTTTCATGTGGCTGGCGGCAGGTGACAGGTGTTTTGTTTTTTCAAGACTGGTTCTCTGTATAACAGCCCTGGCTGTCCTGGAATTCTCTCTGTAGGCCAGGCTGGCCTCAGACTCAGAGATTCACCTCCTTCTGCCTCCCAAGTGCTGGGATTAAAGGTGTGTGCCACCATGCCCTGCTAGTGGTTGACATTTTTCATGTCACTGTGCGAGGTACTAGATGAAACACCGCAGGAAGCCTACATTTTAACACAGAAGAGGTAGAAAAAAATGTGAGAATTTACAGTAGCTTTTCTCCTAAGAGTCAGGTACTGTGAAAAAAAGTGAGATAGGCCAACGTGGATATGGAAAGTATAAGAAGAAAGAGGGATTTTTGTTTTCTTTAATGGAAGGTAGTTCATATTGGTTTTGGTTGTTGCTTTTGTTTTCTTGACTTTTTTGAGACAGGGCTTCTCTCTGTGTAGCCCTGGCTGTCCTGGAACTTGCTCTGTAGACCAGGCTGGCCTCAATCCACTAGTCTCAGCCTCCCACCACCACCCTGCTATGAAACATGTCTATTAAGGTGAAATCAGAGGAAGTTAGTTGGTTGAATGGGCCCCATACAGAGAGAGACCATACAGTTCCAAATAAGGTGTTTTCAGCACAACTCCTACCAAAGAAATTGATAAGAGTGAGCTTCCTGATGTGTGGGAGAGGAGCTTTGTCTACAGTAACAGCAGGTAGTAGAAAGACCACAAAGCAGCATTTGCCTGAAATGGTTAACAGTTTTGATCTGCTGGTACTAATTATCTTTTCTATCGCTCCCACAGTAAGCTTCATCTGTCTTAAGTTATTTTAAAATAACTCATGACCCCCACTCTTCTCCAGCTTTCCTGTCGGTCTCCTTGATGTCTTGCTGCTCTCCCTGAACAGGCTTTAGTTTGCTCTTACGGTATTTTGCCTCTCGTCCTAGTGCATGTACATAGCTGAAGATAACTGTCTACTCAGCACTTTTCAGTGACACATCTACCTCACCTGCATATTTGTATTTATAATTTTAAACCTGACTGTCATACTGAGGTTTCCGTAGTCCCTGATTACATATTTTTCTGTATTTTTATGTTGTTACGTCTGTCACGTATATAAGCACACCTTCCCCTAAGCAGATTGTTATACCTTTCTGAATCATTCTTTGAAAATTAAGATAATAAATATTTTCTCTGTATAAGACGTATTTTCTCATCTCTTTATCAGTTTCATTACCATGATTAGAAAACTTTGACTTTTACCATTTGAAAATTAGATAAATTTTAATGTTAATAATCTAGAACTGTTGGATTTTTTTTTGAAGACCAAGGTCAGGCTATGTAGCTCAGTGCTGGGTTACACATTTGTGCCATCATACTCTGCCCGGCATTTTTTTTTTTTTTCAGTTTGCTAAAATGTAATAAAAATGAGCAAGGCATACTGTTTTGTACCTTTAATAGCGACTCCAGCGGCGAGGCAGGCACATCTCAAGTTTAAGACCTTTGTTTGAAGCCAGCCTGAGCTTCATAAATTAAATAAATAAATAAATGCTGAAGAAGTGACTTAATAGTTAAGAGCACTGCCTGTTCTTCCAGGCAAAATTCTTTCCAGAAAAAATTAAAAATTTGCTTATTTACTTAGAGACAGGGTCTTACTAGCTTTGGTTGTCCAGGAATTCAATATATGAACAGACTGGCCTTGAATTAACAGGTCCAGCTTTCTCTGCCTTCTGAAGACTGAGATTAAAGGCATGCTCCACCCCACCCAGCTTGGGTTTTTTGTTTTGTTTGTTTGTTTGTTTGTTTTTGTTTTTTTTGTTTGGTTTTTTGGGTTTTTTTTTTGTATTATCATGTATGACCAAATGTAGTAGACCAGAAAGAGTTCACTATTTATGGTTTTTGTTTGTTTCTTTTTTCATTTCAAAGAGAAATTTTTTTTTTATAAGATTGAAGTTATAAAAAGCAGACTAAATTTATTCCAAGTCTTTATTTCCTCCTGCTGTTGACATTGTGGTCAGTGTTTTCTCAGTGGTTGTCTGCATACAAAATTAATTAACGACTTGCCTAGAAAGCATGAATCCCTATATTTGATCCCCAGCCTTGAATAAATTGAATAGAGTGTCACATGTCTATAATGCCTCTGTGTTCAATACCCAGAATCTTGTTCATTGAACACAGGGGCATGGTGCCTGTCATCCCAGCATGTTGAAGAGGTCTAGAACCAGAATTAGAAGGTCATCCTCAGATATAGTCCAGCTGTAACTACCTGAAACCCTGTCTCAAAACCAATTGACTATGAGCCAGATCTGACGGCATACATCTGTGATCCCAGTTACCCACAGGGTTAGGCAGGAGGGTCATAAGTTCAAGGCCAATTGAAAATGAAATATGACCTGTAGATGCAGTTTGGAGTACTTTCCTAAATGGATAGGTCCTGTCCTGGGTTCAGTCCTCAGTACTGCCAAAGAAAAAAAAAAAATACTGTCAGTGACCATAAATGGAACATGTCTATTTGCTATGTATATTATTTATTCTGATAACAATAAATAACTGAGTGTTTTCCTCTCAATATACAACTGTTACCCTTTTTAATGGCTTTGTCGTATTCCTTTGTTTTTCTATACTGTGATTCGTTTAAACCAGCCTCTGATCGTAGGCAATCTTACTGTATATGTGCTTTTTTTTTTTTAATTCACATCACATCCTGATCACTGCCTCCCCTCCCAGCATCCTTCCCCCATCTCCCACTCTCATTCTCCTCTGAGAGGTAGAGGACCCTCTGGGTATTTCCCCACCCTGGTACACCAGATCTCTGGGGGACTATGCACATCCTCTCCCACTGAGGCCAGACAAGGCAGCCAGATAGAACAACATATCCCACAGACAGGTAACAGGTTTTGGGATAGCCCCTGTTCCACTTGTTAGGAACCCACATTAAGACCAAGCTGCACATCTGCTACATATGGGTAGGGGGCCTAGGTCCAGCCTGTGTATGCTTTTTGGTTGGTGGTTCAGACTCTGAGAACCCCAAGGGTCCAAGTTAGTTGACTCTATTGGTCTTTCTATAGAGTTCCTATCCCCGTTGGGGCCCTCAGTCCTTCTCCCAACTCTTCCATAAGAGTCCCCAAGCTTCATCCACTGTTTGGCTGTGGGTGTCTGCATCTATCTGAATTAGCTGCTGGTAGGAGCCTCTCAGAGTACAGCCTTGCTAGACTTCTGTCTGCTAGCATAACAGTATTATTAATAGTGTCAGAGATTAGTGGTTGCCCAAGGGATGGCTCTCCAGTTGGACTGGTTATTGGTTAGCCATTCCTCAGTCTCTGCTCCATCTTCTGTCCCTGCATTTCTTGTAAACAGGATAAATTTTGGGTTGAAAGTTTTGTGAGTGGGTTAGTGTCCCTCTCACTCCACTGGGGTTCCTGCCTGGCTATAGGAGGTAGCCTATTGAGGCTCTGATCCCCAGTGCTGTGAGTCACAGTGAAGGTCGCCCTCCTTGACTCTTGAGCACCTCTCCTATCCTGGGTCTCTGGCATCTCCTCGAGAGATGCCCCCCACCTCCCCACTCATGTGGAGCATGTCTTTGGGTGTTACTTTCTCCTGGTAGGTGAGCTTAACAGACACAGCAAAGACGTTCTTAGGTAGATTATTTTTTAAATTGGCTTAAGCTGTGTATCTGGCTGAGCAGAATTTGGGTTATTCCTTATAGTTTAGATTTAAATTTATTGTGGTTAAGTCTATGGTTCTGGGTAGGAGAAAAGGACAGCAGTTGAAGTAGTGTATGTTCTACAAACATTTTTACAGTTGGGTTTGTTTTTGTTTTTGTTTTAATTAGTGTGTGTGCGCGAACACTTCTTCTAGGAGTTGGTTCTCTCACTACCATCTGGATTCCAGAGATCCAATTAGGCCCTTGTGAATTTTCTGAGACAAGAGTTTGACTACATAGCCTAGGCTGCCCTCAATCCTGGTGCTGATCTCACAGGTGTGTACCACCATTCCCAGCCACAGGTTGTTTTAGCTTGGATTATTTGTCTCTGGATCTAAATTTCTGCATCTTATTAAAAGGTTGACTAGATCAGTGATTCCCAACCTGTGGGTTGTGGCCCCTTAGGGGCACTTTTCATAGAGATTGTCACCTACGACCATCTGCATATCATAGTTACATTAGGATTCATAGCAGCAAAATTACAGTTATAAAATAGCAACATAATAATTTTATGATTGGGAGTTGTATTAAGGGGGAGTTGTATCATGGGGAATTGTATTAAAGGGTCACAGCATTAGGAAGATTGAGAAGCACTTGACTAGGTAAAAGTACGATTTCACCTAAGTATTGATAGACTTTAAGTTTTTACCAAGTTACCAGTCATACTGAACTCTCTGCTTTTCCAATACCCTGATAAAGCAGTGAAAGGGGCCTTGCCTGGTTGGAGCCAAGGAACACCACAGTCACATTATGCAACATACCTAGCACAGGAGGAGGAGAAGCAAAAGGCCGTCTCAGAGTGGGGGCGTCAGAGAGACAGAGGGGTTAGTGAAAGGGTGCATGCCTTGATGTCCAGAGGGACTTTTGTAGCAATAGTGGAAATGCACCAAATGTACTGTACCTGACAGTCATTGGGTGATGACATAAGCTTTTGTACTAGTGAACACAGATTGTCCTGACTTTTGTGTGGGGGTGGGTGTTGAAACGGGGTGTAACAGTGGCTGTCCTAGAACTTACTCTGTACATCAACCTAGCTTTGAACTCAGAGGTCAACCTGTCTCTGCCTCCAGACCACTATCACCTGGTTCTTCTGTCCTGTTCTTGAAGGTAGCTAATACCTAGTTACTGTTCTTCCTTTGTCTCTGGTGACAACTGAACATCTTTGGTACCTTAGTTGGACCTGGGGAGTTATGGGTAAAGTGCTTCCCTCACAAGCCTGAGGACCTGAGTTCAGATCCCAGCAGCCATGTAAAAGCTGTGCAAAGGGTGTACATCTGTAATCCCAGCAGTGTCAGCAGGAGGGCAGAAGCCAGTAAACGGCAGACTACTCAATCTAGAAAAACGGTGAGCTCCTGGTTCAGTGAGAGACCCTGTGGTCTCTCATTAGGATCATTTGAACTAGAAGACGTGAGACCCTGTCTCAAAAAGAAAGGAATGAGTGCTGTTTCATGAGTGTAGGTGCAGTGTGACCAACCAGCTGACTTGCTTCCGTGCATTCTCTACTGTGATGGGATGAGCTCCTGAAACTGTAAGCCACGATAAGCCCTTCCTTAAAAACAAAATTTGTAGAGTGGCTAGGTATGGTAGTGCCACCTGTAAGCATCTCCTTAGGAGCTGCAAGCAGGGGGCTCAAGAGTTAAAGTCAGTGTTAGATGCAAAGCTAGTTTGAGTCCAGCTGGGGCTACATGTACTCAGATTCAAATCCCCTCACCTAATTCAAAATGTATGGGTATATTACTTATTTGTAACTTCAGTTACTAATTTGTGGTTTGATTTCCCTGTATGAGTGCTTAAAAGAGGCCAGGGATAAACCTGGGATGTTCCTCTCTTAGGCCTGGACTTGCTTTGTAGGCTAGACTACATAGCCACTGTCTTAGTTAGGGTTTTAGTGCTGAGGAGACACCATGACAATGACAACTCTTATAAGGACAACATTTAGTTGGGGCTGACTTAACAAGTTCAGAGGTTTAGTTCGTCATGGCGGGAAGCATGGCAGCTCACTAGAGGAGCTACATCTGAATTGGGAATTTTATATTTGCATTGTCAGGCAGCTGGAAGAGAGTGACACTGGACCTGACTTGAGCTTCTGAAACCTCAAAGCCCACCCCCAGTGACACACTTCTTCCCACAAGGCCACATCTACTCCAACAAGGCACCTCCTTATAGTGCTGCTACTCCCTATGGGCCTTTAGGGGCCGTTTTCATTAAAATCACATATCCAGCAAGTTACAGGAATTCACCTCTCAGCCTTACTAGCATCATGATTAAATACACATAACAGCACACTCTGGCTTTTTTTTAAATGTAAGTTCTGGCAATTGAACTTAGGTTCTCTTCTTGAACAGCAAACACTTTAGCAACTAAACTGTCTTCTCACCCTGTGTGATTTTTGTGTATTGATCATCTTAGAAGCAGTCTTTTTCTTTAAGTTTGTTTTTTGGGTCTAGTGGGGCTGGTGGGGGTGTGGCTATAGAGGACATGTGTATATGCATGTGTTGGCTCGGGATTGACAAGGCTGTCCTCAAGTTGCTGTCTACTTTATTTTTTGAGACAGAGTCTTTTACACTTATTATCTAGTGTGAGCTTCAGGGTTCCTTCCTGTCTCTGTTTCCCCCAAACTGGGAATTACAAATGCACACTGCCCAGCTAGAGAGATCACTCACTGGTTAAGAGCATTGGGTGCTCTTCTACAGGACCCAGGTTAAATTTCCAGCACCTACATACACAGCAACACTCAACAACCTGTGTAATTCCAGTCCTAGGAGACCTGATGCCCTCTTGGCTTTCATGGGAACTGCATGTGTGTTATGCACAGACATGAATGCAAACAAAACACTCATACACAGAAAAATAACAAATAAAATATAAAAGACAAATATATACCACCATGCTTAGATTTGTTTGCTTGTATTTTGAGATGACATTTCACTATATAGTCCTAGGTGGCCTGAACTCTGTAAACCAGGCTGACTTCTACTCAGAAGAGATCTGCCCACCTTTGCCTCCTGAGTCCTGTGACTAAAGGCATGCACACCACGACTTGGTCTGAGTTGGATACTGAGGATGGAGCTCAGATCCACACCCTTGTTCACCGACACTGTAACAACTAAGTCAGCCTCCAAGGCCTGTCCTTATGTTTCATTTGGAGTGGTGCTATTGTTTCAAGTGTTACTGATTAATTACAGGTGACGTTGTAAAAATAGGAAACAACAGAGACTGGAGAGATGGCTCAGTGGTTAAGAGCATTGACTGCTCTTCCAGAGGACCTGAGTTCAATTCCCGGCAACCACATGGTGGCTCACAACCATCTGTAATGGGATCTGATGCCCTCTTCTGGTGTGTCTGAAGACAGTGACGGTGTACTCACATACATGAAGTAAATAAATAAATCTTTAAAAAAAAATAGGAAACAACAGAAACCTATGTATCTGTTCTGTATACCCATTGGTAAGGAATTGGTCTTACAATTACACATGTAATGAAAGCCCCTTTTTAGTGAAGTGTATGTGAGACACGTTGGAAACTGGGATGTCACTGCTTTTCCTGGACTAGACTTGAATTCACAATCTTTCTGTCTTCGACTCCTAAGGAGCTAGGATTAACAACAATATTTACAGCTGCATGTGGTGGCGCACGCCTTTAATCCCAGCACTTGGGAGGCAGAGGCAGCTGGATCCTGGTCTACAAACTGAGTTCCAGGACAGCCAGAGCTACACAGAGAAACCCTGTTTTGAAAAACCAAAAATGGAAGGGAGGGAGGGAGGACCAAGAAAAAAAAAGTTCTCATGACCAGACTCAAAATAGCTTCATATGAACCTGCAAATACTAAACTTTCCTTTCTTTCTAATATTTATTTATCTGTTTTTTGACAGATGATGTCGGTTCACACGGATTGTATTGTGTCAGTGCAGATCTTAAGTACACTGATGGAAATAACCATTAGAAATGGTAAGTATAAATTTCTGTAGTGTGTGCTGTTGCTTATTACACATTCTCTTTCGTATTGCTTGATGTTAAAGTTGTGATTTTGTTTGCTTTGATTTTTGCTGGTACTAGGAATTAAACGTGATATTAACAGATGACAACCCTTCATATTTAACACATGAAGACTGGAGAAATGGCTCAGTGGTTAAGAGCACTGGCTGCTCTTGCAGAGGACCCGAGTTCAGTTCCACATGGCAGCGCACAACTGTCTGAAACTCTAGTTGCTGGGGATTCGTGGCACCAGGCATTCATATGGTCCTAAATCTTAAAAAAATATTTAACACGAGTTATTTTATGGGGTCAGTAGAAATAGTTGAAAACTTATCTATGTGTTAAGTCACCCATTATTTAGACTTAAATGTTCTTATTGTTTGACATAGTCTTGTGTAGCTCAGGCTGGCCTCAAACTAACTTTGTAACCTTGGCTGGCCTTGAATTCTTAACCCTCTTGCCTCGCTCCTCCGAGTGCTGCTAGGTTGCAAGGGTACACACTAGGCTCAGTTTGAACCAACTGATATTAATTGGCATTTGGGTGAGCAACAGTTGTGTTAATGTTTGCACATAGAGTGCATTAAGGCAGATTGAAACCATCTATTGGAAGTCTTGAGTGCTTTCTCACCTTTGAAAGCCCTTTTACTAAAAGAAGCATTATGGTTTAACCAGTCACTTATTTGAGGGATGAAGATTTGAGGGATAAAGGCACTGAAGATGATAAAATCTTCCAGTGTTGATGATATTTAGAATTTTAACCAGTATTGTCTCTAATCACTTCAAAACATGTTACTTCCTTACTATTTACACTTTATGAAGGATCATTCAGATATCTTTTTTGTATTATTTAGTTCACACAGTCTGAGAAGTTACACTTTTTATGATCCATAGCTTAACTGTATTATAAAAATACCATTAGCAGCTATCATTCCTGTGAAATCATTGTGATTAAAGCCAAGTATGGTAGCATATGCCTAAAATGAGTATCCATAGGCTGCATACTGAGACTTTTGTTTAAAAATGAAGAGAAGGAAGAAAGGAAAAAATAATAATCTGTTTACAGGTGGTGTCTTAGTTAGGATTTTACTGCTGTGAACAGACACCATGACCAAGGCAAGTCTTTTTTTTTTTTTTTTTTTTTTTTTTTTTTTTTTTTTTTTTTTTTTGGTTTCGAGACAAGGTTTCTCTGTGTGGTCCTGGCTGTCCTGGAACTCACTCTGTAGACCAGGCTGGCCTCGAACTCAGAAATCCGCCTGCCTCTGCCTCCCAAGTGCTGGGATTAAAGGCATGCGCCACCACCACCCGGCTCAAGGCAACTCTTATAGATTATGACAACATGTAATTGAGGCTGGCTTACAGGTTCAGTCCATTATCATCAAGGTGGGAGTATGGCAGTGTCCAGGCAGGCATGGCACAGGAGGAGCTGAGAGTTCTACATCTTCATCTGAAGGCCCCTAGGAGAAGACTGGCTCCTGTGTGGTTAAGAGGAGGGTCTTAGAGCCCACACCCACAGTGACATACTTCCTCCAATAAGGCCACTTCAAAATAGTGCTTATTCCCTAGGACAAGCATATTAAAACTACCACATTCCACTCCCTGGGCCCCATAAGGCTTGTTCAAACATATAAGTCTATGGGGGCCATACCTAAACATAGCATAATGCAAAAATAATACAGTTAGTCCAACTACCAAAGTCCCCATAGTTTGTAGCAGTCTCAATGTTCAAATTCTCTTCTGAGATTCATCCAATCACTTAACTGTAATCCCCAAAGCAGGTCAGGAAACCAGCTGGGCAAACTCCAAACTCTGCATCTCCATGTCTGATGTCAAAGCAGTCGTCAGATCTCATCTCCTTTTTTATCTTTCTTGACTGCAACAAACTTATTTTTCCTGGACTGGTTCCATTCCATGTTAATAGCTTCCCTTGGCAGGTGACCCACAGCTCTGGCACCTTTAACATCTTGGGGTCTCCAAGGCAACTTCAGCTTCACAGCTTCTTGTTCCAATGTCTAGGATCTACACATGATCTTCTGGGCTCTTCCAAAGGGCTGGCATCACTTCTCCAGCTCTGCCCTCTCCAGCACTCTAAGCTCAGGTTGATCGACTCCACTGCTGCTGCTGTTCTTGGTGATCATCCCATGGTACTGGCATCTCCAATGCGCTGGCGTCTTTAACTGCAACTAGGCTTCACCAATAGCCTCTCATAGGCTCTCTTCATGGTGCCAAGCCTCAACTCCTCTGCATGACCCCTTCAGTCCTGAGCCATCTACTCCAACTGAGGCTGCACTTTCTTCACCGGTGGCCTTTCATGGCCTCTCACAGTGCCAAGCCTCAGCTGCTCTTCATAATTCCTTCATGCCTTCAAACCTGCACCACCTGGGTGACTCTTATATTATCAAGTCCAACAGCATGAGGTACAACCTTGGCTTCCTCTGTTAACACAGCTTCTTTGTGCTCTCAGAAAATACTTCCCAGAGGTCACCTCAGTGATGCTGGTCTCTTCTTAGTTACCACTGATTTCTTAGCTCTAGCTAACCAGCATCCACTGTCCAGTAACTCCTTCTATTCTGGACTCTTCTATTTTGGCCAGAACCACATGGCCAAAGCTGCCAAGTTCTGCTGCTTGCTGAGGCTGGAACATGGCCCCCTGTACCCCGTTATTCTATTACCAGCTTTCTGTTTTCTAACTCCCTCACTGCCTAGCCTTGGTGCTCCTGGAACTTGTTCTATATATTGACCTTGAACTCAGAAATCTGCATGGCTCTGAGATTAAAGGTTTGTACCACCATGCCTGGAGTTAAGCTCTTCTTCCCCTAGAACCTACTCTGTCACTGGCTGTCCTTAAACTCAAAGATCTGTTATCTCCTAGAAACAAGGATTCAGCTCCATTTTACTTCCTGGTGCCCCTTTAATACTTGAACCATATATTTTGTTTTTCTCTTTTTTTCAGCTTCTCCTTTTCATTAAAATGCTTTTTGTAAGAGTAATTTCAGTAACCATACAACAGAACTTATACCAGGCTCTTTGGGGACTTCCTTTTTAAAGCATTTAATCTAAATCTCTTTACCTTTGCTTCAGGCAGACTCTTCGGACAGTGCCAAAAAGTAGCCACATTTTTCATCAAAATGCCACAAAAACAAGTCTCTAAGCCACATGCTGAAATTCTCCTCCACTGAAACCTTTTCAGCCAGCTCTGCACAGTTCAAATCATTCACAGCAACAATGTCTTCCATATTCCTACTAGGATAGTCCATTAAGCCCCACTTAAAGAATTCCACTGCTTTCCAAATCTTAAACTCCACATTCTTCCAAACAAAAGCAAGTTCAGGCCTCTCACAGCAATACCCAAGTCCCTTCTGCCTTACTTAGAATTTTACTGCTGTGAACATGACCAAGGCAACTCTTACAAGGTTATGACAACATGTAATTGAGGCTGGCTTACTGGTTCAGCAGTTCAGTCCATTATCATCAAGATGGGAGTATGGCAGTGTCCAGGCAGGCATGGCACAGGAGGAGCTGAGAGTTCTACATCTTCATCTGAAGGCCCCTAGGAGAAGACTGGCTGCCATGTGGTTAGGAGGAGGGTCTTAAAGCCCAAGCCTGCAGTAACACATTTCCTCCAACATGGCCACACCTTCTAATAGTGCCACTCCCTAGGACTAGCATATTCAAACCACCTCAGATTATCACTGTTCAGTGTGGCTTTATGAATGAGTGGTTTGAATTAAAATAATTTCTTGTGTTAACCAGATAATTTCAGTGACTCTCCAGTTTGGCCCTGGATCCCATCATTGTCTGATATAGCAGCTGTATTCTTCAACATGGGCGTTGGTTTTGGATCTTTGTTTCCTCTGGAGACTCTTCAACCAGACTTTAATGAAGACAATCTAATGTAAGTTTTCTTCACATTGTAAATACCAAAAAGATCTCTTGGGGTTTTTTCATTCTTGTTTTGTTGAGATAGTATCTTACTCTGTAGCCCTAACTGGCCTGGAACTTGGCTGTATAGAACAGGTTGGCCTTGAATTTAACAGAAACCCACCTCCCTCTCTCTGCCTCTCTGCACCCCTCTGCCCCTCTTTGCATGCCTCTGCCTCTGCCATGCGGAGATTAAAGGTGTATGCCACAAAACTGGGCTCAAAAAGATTTTTAATGGTTGTTGTTCTTTCATTGTCATTATAATTGATTTAATAAATTCAGTATTCATTCTTGACTTAATAAATTCAGAGCTGAAATCAGTCTTCACATACTAAAGTTTTAATACCTGCCCTAATGTAAAAGTTACCATCATGTTTAATGAGGAAATAATAGAAACAATCCTATAAAGAGTTTTAAAGTCTTCTCATTGTTATTTAACAGTGTTTCGCTAGGCCAACAAGATGGCTTGTCAGGTAATTCCCATGCAAACCTGATGATAACTTGCCCCAGTAGATAACCTACACCTAAGAGAAGGAAGTAGCTTGACTCCCAAAAGATGTCCTCAGTTTCAGGGCCTTGGCACATACATCCAAACTCACACACTGCACCCTCAGTAAATTTAATTTTTTAAAAATCATATGTAGATATTTATTGGCAAAGCAGTTAGATAAGAGAAGAGGAAGGCCATAAAAATTGGAAGGACCTCGATAAAAAAAATAATGTGATAAATGATTCAGTCTCTACATAAAGGTCTAAGACTCGGCTGAGAGAGGACGACAGACAGATTCTGCGTGGACACCAGCGGTAAAACTGGGAAAGAGAAGCCAGTGCCTTTATGTATCTGATCAGCAGCTGGTTAAAAGTATGCCACAGAAAAGAGCCTTCTTAGTGGCAGGAGGGACAAAAAATCTAGAAATCAACTTAACTAGAAATGTGTGTATATAAATTACTAAAGACAAACGATGGTAAATGAAAAGCCTGCTGTGCTTTCCAACGTGGACCTCTAGCATGGGTACTCAGATCTGGGGCAAATGTCAGCAGGATTTGGGAGTACTGGAAGGAGTTGGACCATACAGCTGATTCAAAATTCATAAAAATCAGATCGCCTCAGCAAATTTTTACCAGATGGGAAAAACATTTCACCAATGGTAAAGGTCTAAAGGTCTCCCAAATACACACCGGTGCTTAGTATACACTAAAGATGTAGGTTAGGAGAGAGTGTTCTCCAGGGCCTTCAAAGCTCAGTAGCCATTTAGGGGGAAAATGGACTCATACCTCAAGTTGACAGATCATGGATTTCAACATACACAATGAAAATAAGTAATAGAAAAACTGGCAGAATTGTTTTATTCTAGAACAGAAGATGGTTTTATGTGTAAAGTAAAACCCTCTGTGAAAGGAAATGTGAATTTGATTATATTTTTGAAGTCTTGATGACAAAGATTTTTTTTTTTCTTTTTCTTTTTTTCGAGACAGGGTTTCTCTGTGTAGCCCAGGCTGTCCTGGAACTCACTCTGTAGACCAGGCTGGCCTCGAACTCAGAAATCCAGACAAAGATTATTTTAAGTAATGTCAAAGAAAACCTTCAAAATAGAGGGGAACAGAAAGATGTGCGGGGGTGGGAGCGGAAGTGAGAGCCGGGCCAGTCATGGACAAAGGCTGGATTCAGATAGAAAGAGAAATGTCAACAGTTCACTACAGAATGGGCAAAAGAATGAACTGATTGCAGAAAAAGAAGTAAAAGCAAGTCTTAAATTACAAGCACACATTCATCTTTCTTGGCTAACAAGAAAAACACAAATTGTTATAACATGGTGTGTCCAAAATCAAACTCATTTTACAGTTTTCTTTTTACCAAAACTGGACCCCCTTGTTAATTAGGTAAACTTCATATCAAAAAATATGTTCAATAGCAAAATTTTAGACATGCTCTAATAATTTAAATAGAAGAAACAGTGCCTTTCTTGCCCATCCAAAAATCTCCTTATATTATTAGAACGTTCTATTTGTGGTTTGAAACAATAAGGATAGCTGTCCTGAACTTGAACAAATCCTCCTGCCTTTGACTCCTGAGTTATGAGATTGCAGGTATGTGCCACTACACCTAGCCAGCTAAATACCTCAACCTACCACCACCCCCACCACCCCACACACACTAACCTCCCTAGGCAGGATTTTACTCTGTGGGCCCTGGCTGTCCTGGAACTTGCTAGGTAGACCAGGTGGCCTTGAAGTCACAAGAGATTTGCTTGTCTCTGCTTCCCAAGTGCTGGGATCATGCACCATTACCACATCCAGGTAACTACCTATTTAAAAATACCTCATCCTTCTGAATAGTACAAACAATTAAAGGGTTGAAGTGATGTGTCAGCAGTTAAGTTTGTACTGCTCTTATAGAGCATCCAAGTTTGGTTCCCAGGACCCATAGTCATTGGTTGACAACTACCTGTAACTCCAGCTCAAAGGGAATCAATGTATTTCATCCTGTGACATTTACATTCGGATACACTCATCCATACAACAATAAATGCATATATAAATATTTAAAATATCAACTACATTGTTTTTAATGAACTCAGTAGTGTGTAATAATTTTGTATATTGTATATGTATGAGTTTGTAATTGATTGTAGTAAGCATGTACAGTAGTACAATTGAATAATTGCATTAATACAAAAATGTGAATAATACTTAGTTGTATAACTTGGAGGGGTTTCTGGAGATCTGGCTCTGTGGTTAGGTTGCCAATGCCTGCATCAGGCTCTTTACAGCTGCCTGTAACTCCTGCTCCATAAGGTCCAACACACTCTTCTGGACTTTGGGCACTGCACCCATTTATACACGTAACTAAAAATAATAACTTCACAATTATAATCTTGATTATTTAACTTGGGTTGAGTGAGTAGACAGTGGTGCATAATGGTCAGGGAAGACGAAAGCAGGGAAATAAGCGTGCAGGGTCATGAGGAACAAGCGTGGTGTCGGAGAGGACTTTCAAAAGCTGGCACAGTTCTGACTGTGATTTCTAGATACAGACTTAAAATGTGAGTCCTAAGAACAGTCTACCATGAACAGTGGTGGGTACACCTTTAATCCCAGCACTTGGGAGACAGGCAAATAGATCTCTGAGTTCGAGGCTAGCCTGGTCTACAGAGCTAGCTCCAGGATAGCCAGGGCTAACCTCTTGGGGGGAAAAAATTTTTACCCTTTTCAGTTGAATGTCTCAGCTATTTTTCCTGTATATGCCTCTTATCAGGCTTAAGATCCTTTCTTTTCTAGCATGTTTCTCCAAAATTCTTGACTGTTAGAAGAATCTCTTACATAAACATCATATATTTGAGTTTACAATTTTACTGATCTACTTTTTATTTTTCCTGTTTTATCCCTCTCAAGAATCACTGTTAGCTCAGTCTAGGCTCAAACTGAGGTATTCCAGCTTAAACTTCAGTACTGGGAAATGCTAGGCCTCTGACCAATTTTTAATTTTGTTCTTTAGCCTTTTGTTCTTACCAAATTGATCTGCCTATTAGTTTTTCACATCCTTGCATCACAGCTGGGAAGTTTTATCTCATACTTGCTGTGTATCAGACACAGCTAAGGGTTTGCTACAGTATCTTCAGTTAACTACAGATATTACTAGTAATTCATTACCATTTTAGGTGTAGAAAGATGAAGTAATTCCTGAAAGTTATACAGAGGTGGGAAGGTGTTAGCTAGATGAAGAGTGATTTCCAGGCTGGCCACTGCTGTAGTTAACCCTGCTTTGCTTTTTGGTTGTTTTGTTTATTCTTTTTGTTTTTCTTTTTTAAAGTCAACATGGTGCTTCGTGTTTGTAATCCCAGCATGTGAGAGGTAAGGCAGGAGGATCACCATAAAAGTAGAGACAAGTTTAGGCTGTGTAATTCCAGGCCAGCCTGAACTACAGAATGAAACAATCTCAAAAACAAAATGTTCCAAAGCCCAGGGACCATCGCAGATAGAAGGCAAAAGGCGTGTGAGAACTGGAGGTTGGGAGGGACAGCTATGGAGTGCTGTCGTCTGGGCATGCTGTGGCTGTTGTAGCTGAAATTTAGCAGTGCTGCTTATCTGGGTAAGACCTTGAGAGTGGTAGGCAGTGTATGACTGCCAGGAGATTCCTCTCCTTGTGTCATCTTACTCTTTGTGTGGCCACTGGTAGCAGCTTTGCTGCAGAGGTAAACCCCCACTCATGCTCATGCAAGTAGTTCCATTAAAGGTAATGGGAAGAGAAAAAGAGAAATTGTTTACATTCAGGTGTGGAAGGGTATTCAAGGTACATTTACCACTGTTGGTGGTAAAGTGGATACAGAGAGCATTGTGAAAAGCTGAATGCTCTATTCTGACACCAGACATGTGAATTTGCCACCTACACAGAGACCTGAATAGGGTGTCTGATCTCCTGGAGCTGGAGTTAGAGGTGGTTGTAAGCCACCTAGTATGAGTGCTGGGAAACAAACCCCAGTCCTTCCTAAGACCAGTATGCACTCTTAACCACCAAGACATCTCTCCAGTCCAACTTAAGACTTCAAGGTAGAAGCCGGGCTGTGGTGGTGCACGCCTTTAATCCCAGCACTTGAGAGGCAGAGACAGGCAGATTTCTGAGTTCGAGGACAGCCTGGTCTACAGAGTGAGTTCCAGGACTACACAGAGAAACCCTGTCTCGAAAAACCAAAAAAAAAAAAAAAAAAGACTTCAAGGTTGCATTACACACGGATGGTGGATGAAAACATTGGGCATTTAATGATCAATTTGATCTCTAGACTCTCTGGGTGGAACTTAATTTTTAAACCTCTAATCACAGATTAAATACGATTGTCTTCACAAGTCACCTTATCTGCATGAGGAGAATTTTAGCTGTTAAGAGCACTTGATGGGATCTGCTCATAAAGACCAACTACATGTTCTCAAAGCACAGGGTCCTGTGTTTGCATTTGCTTTTTATATGTAAAATGCTCATGGAAGGAAAGAAGGACTGAAGCCAGTCCTTCCACGGTAGTAGATGTGGGAAGGGGAAGCAAGTGGCTCAAAGAGCCCAGTTGGGAGGTCAAAACTTTTAAAGGTTTGGTGGTGGTTTTCTTTATTTTTAGCCAAATGAATCTTGTTGGGTAGTGGTGATGGTTGTTGGGTTTTTTTGTTTTTGTTTTTGCTTTTAGCAACAATATGTTCCATAAGCAAATGCAGAGTCTACAGAGATGGCTCAGTGGTTAAGAAAGAGCACATAATGCTCTTATAGAAGATCTGAGTTTGGTTCCCTATAGTCTGTAATGGTATCTCCAGGAGTTCCCACGCCCCCTTCTGGCCTCCATTGGCATTGTACCTGTGTGTACAAACCCACACATGCACAGATTAAAAAGCCAGTCCATGCATTTTTTTCATGAACCTTTACTAAATTCAGATGCATAAAATTGGTATGTGTGTGTACTCACATGTGTGTGTATTATTCTTTATGTATACTTATACATAAGTGTGCCTGTACCTACTCTTCTTTGCATGTACATGCAGAGGCCAGAGCAAGAGGTTGAGTATCTTCCTCTATGACATCCTACCCCATTGCCTTGAGGAAGGATCTCCTCACTGAACCAGAAGCTTACCCTTCAGCTGGGCTGGCTAGTGAACTCTCAGGATGTGCCTGTTTCCATCTCTCAGTGTTGGAATCTCAGATACGTACAGCATGCCTGGATTTGTATATGGTTGTTGGAGATTCAAACTCAGGTCTTCTTGCATAGCACTGAGCCATCTCCTTAGCCTCTATAGTTCTTTCCCTGTATCAGTTTGGAAGTTTATTCAGGTCACTCATAGGGCCTATAATAATCATAAGTTCATTATCGTTATATTTACCCTGGTTTACATAGCTTTCTGACACCAGGAGCATTAAGGAAAATAATCATTTCAAATAACAACTAAGCTAGGTACAGTGGCATGCATCTGTAATCCCAGCTTCTCAGGAGGCTGAGGCAGGGTGAATGTATGTTTGGGGCTTGCCTGGGCAGTGTAATTAAACCCTGACTCAAAGGGCAGCTGTTCAGAGTTTCCTGCAGTGAGTATTGATTCCATACTGCTTTCTCATGATTCTGAAACACATGCTTTATTTTCTTCTCAATAGTTCTGAAACACAGAAATCACTGGGGGGAAAAGGAAGTGAAGATTCATCTTATAATCCAGTATTTTCAGCTCTTCCTGAAACCAACATTTTAAATGTGGTTAAGGTAGGAAAGACTTTGTATATGCTCAGCAAAGAGCCATAACCAGTTTAAAACTCAACTGGTTTCTTACCAGGTGAAATGTCTTAGCAATTATCTCTCCATTATAAATGCATTTTTCTTAATTTTATTTTTGTTTTGTTTTTAAAACAAAAGCAACCTTCAGGTCAGAATTTAAGGTTAAAGTGTTACAATGTAATTCAGTGGCTAAATAACTGCAGCATGAAACATTTTAGTTGCTGACTCCAGTCAATAATACTGAGAATGAAGAAGAAACACTTACCCTTTCATTCTCCTATTTGTGTTACATTCCTGCCTTTTGTAGACATCTGATACTTGTAATCTGTGTGATCTTTTCTTTTTTGACTCTTATGTCAAGAATATAACAACTCTTCAAGTAATTTTTTTCTTTGTCCATTTCTGGCAGTTCCTGGGCTTATGTACATCTATACATCCAGAAGGTTACCAAGATGGAGAAATAATGTTGCTGATTTTAATGCTGTTTAAAATGAGTTTGGAAAAAGAGCTTAAACAGATTCCATTAGTAGACTTTCAGAGCCTCCTGATAAATCTCATGAAAAACATCAGAGATTGGAACACAAAGGTAATGTCTCTTAAAATTTAGGTGTTACAGCCAAGGATGGCAGTGGACACCTTAGATTCTAGCATTTAGGAGTAAAGGCAGGAAGTTGGAGAGCTATAGTGTCATCTTCAACTACACGGTGGCTACAGGACAGTCTATAAAGCCCTGGGTGTTACAGTCGTTACAGCACCACAGTGTTTCACATGCATTCAGAGTTCAAGGATTCTAAGCCCAGTTAAGCGTGATGCTGAGGAAGGCTGTTTGCTGGAACTCTTATTTAAATTAATAACAGATTTTTTTTTTTTAAAGCAGCTGTTTTTGTTTTTTGAGACAGAGTCTCTCTGCGTAGCCCTAGCTGTCCTGGAACTGATCTGTAGACCAGGCTGGCCTTGAACCCACAGAGATCCGCCTGCCTCTGTCTCCCAAGTGCTGGGATTAAAAGTGTGAGCCACCACCGGCCCTCAAGTAACTGTCATTGCAGCATTGTATTGGGAATTTACTGTGCCTCAGCATTTACAGGTTCTAGCGACCCAGTCCATGCCTTTGCCCTTGTTGGGCTAACATATCATTTACTGCAGATGTCTTAACACTTCAGGTTGTAATTAAATGTTGCAAATTAAGATAGAGGGTGACCAGGGTGTCATGACTAGCACAGCAGGGCTGCAGAGACATCATCTGAGGCCTTCAAGGAACGCCTTTCTGAAACAGCCTCTGAGCATAACCGACATGATCATGATTGTCATACCTGCAGCCAGGATTGAGTTGGACTTCATTGTCATATGGGGGCTGCGTATGGATAATTTTATTAGGCCTTTTTGTACATACATTTTCAGACAAAACTTTGGTTACACTGGAGCACAGAAAAGTGTAATAAACTCTTACCAGGCTCCAGAAGTTACAAGAGATAGTCTGTCTTGTCTGATCATTCACACTCCTTACTCCTTACTCGTCAGCTCACTTTGAAGCAGCAGTTAGTTCTTAACACTATTCAGACAGAGAGCTAGCGGAGGGGGCCGTGCTTGCATACTACCTAGCAAGTGTAAGGCTGGGCTTGTCACCAGAAGAAAAGAAAAAGACTGTAACAGGATCCAAGAGTGCAAGAATTTTCAGGTCATGAATATCTGTGATCTTGTGTGTATGTTATTATAGATATTCAGGGAAACTGGGATTAGAATACTTTATTCTTTCAAGAAATACCTTCAAGTATAAATAAATATAAGGTGTAACAACATGAGAGTGACGTGATGTGCTAGTAGAATATTACCATTTTACAGTACTTTACAAAAACCAGAATTTGTATTATGTTCACTGCAGTAGGGTCTAAATGACATGTGTTTTTAAAATTCAGAATTCTTCTTTAGTGATTTATAGTAAGGCAAGAAGTTATGTAGATCTGATTCCAGGCTGGTTCTCTCTTTTTCAGGTTCATGAACTCTGTCTAGGCATAAATGAACTCTCCAGTCATCCCCATAACCTTCTGTGGTTGGTACAGCTAGTCCCTAACTGGACATCTCGTGGAAGGTATTGAAAAGTGAGATAAACATCAAGCTGTTTTATAATGCTGGCACTAGTTAAATGCTTTGGAGTTCTTATTTTGAGACAGGGTCTTACTATGTAGCCCACACTGGCCTCAAACTCAACAGTCTTTCTCCCTCAGCCTTCCCTAAATGTTAAGTTTATCAGCCTAGGCCACCATGCCCACCTTGGGACTTTGTTTCTGTTCATCATTTCTTTGAATGTTCTTTTATTAAGGGAAAAGGTATAGAAATCCTGATTGTGATGGTTTGTATGTGCTCAACAGCATATACAGTGTGCCAGGGAGTGGCACTATTAGGAGGTGTGGCCTTATTGGAGTAGGTGTGTCACTGTGGGTGTGGGCTTTTAAGACCCTCATTCTAGCTGCCTAGAAACCAGTATTCCACTAGCAGCCATCAGATGAAGAGGTAGAACTCTCAGCTCTGCCTGCACCATGCCTGCCTGATCCTACCGTGCTCCTACCTTGATGATAATGAACTGAACCTGTAAGCCAGCCCCAATTAAATGTCCATTATAAGACTTGACTCAGTTGTGGTGTCTGTTCACAGTAGTAACACCCTAACTAAGACACTGATTATGTCTGTTCACAACATGATTATTCTTGATTGTTAGTTTTAATACGTAAGCCAGTATTGATCAGTGCTTTTCAACTTTCCAAATGCAGCCACCGCTTAATATAGCTTCTCCTTTTCTGGTGATCCCCACCATAAAATTAGTTTTGTTGTAACTTCGTAATTCAAACTTTTCTCCTGTTATAAATTGTAATGTAAATATCTGAGATGCAGGACCCTGTGAAAGGGTTGTTCAGCTCCCAAAGGGGTTGTAACCCACAAGTTGAGAACTGCCTTTATAGATAGATGATCCATAACACAAAAATGAATTCACTTTCTTATCCTTCAGTAAGATTATTTATTTCAAATAGGTTGGTTTTCTGTCAGTAAGTCAACAAGATCAGTAACAAGTTCTTATCTTAGTGAGCTTTAGGGAGTTTCTTTCCTACTTTTGGTGATGGTGGTGGTGGTGGTGGTGGTAGTGGTGGTTGTGGTGATGGTGGTGGTGGTCTTTGGTGGAGGGAGCTGGAGCAGAGTTGAGATAGAGTTTCTCTGTGTAGTCCTGTCTGTCCTAGAACTCACCCTGTAGACTAGGCTGGCCTCAGACTTGAGAGATCTGCCTCCTCCCACCTCCCAAGTGCTGGGATTAAGGTCCTGAGCTATCACACTCAGCCTTCTTGTCTACTTTTTGAGACAAGTTCTTAGTAGCTCAAGCTAAGTCTGGACTTGGCATGTGGTAGCGGATTATCTGGACTCCTGATGTTCTGCTGAGCACTGAGATTGCACATGTGCACTACCGTGTCATGTTCTGCTGAGCACTGAGATTGCACATGTGCACTACCGTGTCATGCTAGGTAGGCACTCTACCAGCTGAACTCTGTCCCCAGCCAGAGGCAGTTTTAACTTGATGTGTATTTCTTACGTGAGCATATTGCAGCTCTGTAACAGTTGTTTCTTCTACAACCCTGAGAGACTACGACTTCTTTGGGCTCATTTACTCACCTGTCAAGCAGTATTGGTTAAACACATTATAAATGCTTTTCATTTTTAATTCCAGGCAGCTGAGGCAATGTCTCAGTCTGGTGATCATTTCAAAGCTTTTGGATGAAAAACATGAAGATATTCCTAATGCCAGTAATCTTCAGGTAACAATATTGTTTTTTTTTTCTAATAAATGGGAGAGTTAGGTGTTGGGAAATATAAATTTATGAATTCCAAAATCAGATGTCCTGATTAGCTAGATGTGGTGACTCATGCATTTATCCTAGCACTCTGAAGGCAGAAGCCGCTAGACCTCCGAGTTTGAGTGCAACCTGGTCCACACAATTCCAGAACAGCTAGTGCTACACAGAGAAAACTACCTCAAAAACAAAACAACAACAACAAAGTCCTTTGTAAATTCAACTTTCAAGCATGATACACTGTTGATACAACCTTTAGCATGATACCTAATTTAAAAAAACTAGTTTTTTTTTATCTGTAATGAAGACAGTATAGCCTCTACCCTATAGGACAGTTACAGACTGATGAATTAATCTGTAAATAAACTATTGAGAAAAATCATAATTGCCATTAACAGTTATGACATTGAGGATTTATTCAGTTCCCCAAGATTAGCAGTGTGATGATAGGATTAGAAGTTTCAGATTAACCAAATCTTACGCCTGTTTTAATACAGGTGGTCTTTATAGATCATAGAGCTTACTGTGATGTGCCTCCGATTCTTGTCAGTAGAGATCAATATGAATATGCATAAGTAGATATACAGGAACACCACTCTGAGTTCTGCTGACTCTGCAAACAGTGATAGCACTTACAGGGCTGCCTTTCGTTGGATCTAAAAAATTAAAAAACTTCATCTGAGTATGCCTGTACTGTTTGAATTGTAAGTCACCATAAAGTAATAGGTTATGGCCTAGGAATAAATAAAAATGGTACTCTACTCTGGGAAACGTAATCTAGTCGTATAAACCAACAGGATGCTGTGGGACAGAACTGACTCCCACCCTAGTCAGGTGGCCCATCAGCTCCATTCCTGAGCCATTAGGATAATTAAAAGCCTTCAGTGCATTTAGCAATATTTGCAGCCATCAAAGGATCCAGGATAGCATCTCCGCTGTTGGTCTTACTAACGTCTGTCTTGTCTGTCACATAATTCTTTTATATCTGTATAAAAGAGAACCAAATGAATAATTACCCATCAGGTTGTGTGCTCAGTGTCAGCCAGACCAGCCACTCACTAATAGCCCAGTCAGCCTTGAAATCCCAGTGATACCTCCTGCTTCAGCCTCAAGGGTTGAGATGGTAGGTATGAGCCACCACATTGGATAGTGCTGTTTTTTTAGAATTCAATGACCTCTATTATAATATCATTTGTTCTTGTCCTAAGCATTTATCCTAACTTACTAAATCGTAACATAAAATACCTTAAGTGTGTGAAGAGTTTTCAAGTAAACAGAAAAATGGGTATCATAGAACTATGGAAAAGGAGTGGGAATGAGAGTGGGCACAGTGGAATTAGCTCAAGAAAGAGCACTGCACTGCTCAGAATTGACCAGCCTCTCTTCTCTTGATAGGTCTCAGTCCTACATCGCTATCTAGTGCAGATGAAGCCTTCTGATTTGTTGAAGAAAATGGTCTTGAAGAAAAGGGCCGAACAGCCAAATGAAACTATTGATGACAGTCTTCATTTAGAACTTGAAAAGCAGGTATCCAGAGCTAGATCTTAGAGGATAAATACACAGGGCATATAATCATATTTTATACTTTATTGCTTTCTAGAAGTTTTTCAGAACAGTGAGAATGGGGTGCGAGGGTCGTTGTTAATGATATAATGCGCTTTCCTGTGGCCCAGCACTAAGCAGTTTTAAGATAGTAAAAAGAAAGCACTTAGTTTAAAAATCAGAAAGTCTGGTTTAAGTACACAGCTTCCCTTCCTCTCAGACTAAGTGAAATCCTGTCTTTCCTGGGCAGCTTTGCTAGTCTGTAGACTGGGATGGTGTTTATACTAACTTTTTCATGGGTAGTAATTTTCTTCATCTCTCTAACAGGCATATTACCTGACCTACATTCTTCTTCATTTAGTTGGGGAAGTTAGTTGTTCTCATTCTTTTTCTTCTGGACAACGGGTAGGTAATATTTAGTGTTATTATAAATAGGTGTTTCCGTTTGTGAAATGAATAAGCATATGTGTGTTAGAAGTTGACTGGTTTTGCTCTGGAAATCAGAGTGTGCTCTAGAAGATGTGCATGCTACCCTGCAACTATATCTTAGTGACAGGAATTATTTCTCAGCAGTTTTGTTGGAGTAGAGCTCAAGGACCATAACCTGGCAGTAGTATAATGCATTTGTAAGATCAGGGGCACCAAGTGGATTAGCTTTTGATGGTTTGTTCCCACTTCTTCCTTTGAACCCCCTCCACTCACTTTTCTTTTTCTTTAGAAAAACTAAAATGCCTTTAAAACTGCTTATTTATAGGGACCAGGGAGATGCTTAGTGGTGTAACGTGCTTGCTGCCAGGTTCGACAACCTGAGCTCAATCCCCAAGGCCGACATGGTAGAAGGAAAAAGCCAACCTATGCATTGTGTCTGACTGCCACATGTACGCCATGGTGTATGTACATACACACAAAATTTTTTTTTAAGAATTATATATTTTATGTATATAAGTGGTCTGTCTGCATATACACCTGCATGTGAGTGCTGGGGTTAAAGGCGTGCACCACCTTTGCAGACATTTAATTCTCTATTAATAAAAGCCTATGCTTGCTGGCCAAACTGCCTCATACCTATAATCCAGAATTTGGAGACTGAGAAAGGAGTAATAGCATGAGTTTGTGCCTGGACTCTATAGTAAGTTCCAGGCTGGACTATAGAGTGCTTCTCAACCTTCCTAGTGCTGTAACACCTTACTACAGTTCCTCATGCTGTGGTGACCCCAACATAAAATTATTTTGCTGCTACTGAATCATAACCATAACTTTGCTACTGCTATTGGATTGTCATGTAAATAATAGACAGGATATCCCCGAGAGGTCTCAACCCACAGGGTGAGAGTGGCTGCTCTAGAGTCATATACCCTGTCTCAGAAATAGAAACAAAGCAAACCTCATAAAACCAGGTGTGGTTGGGAGTGGTTTTGCTTATCTTTAATCCCAGCAGATGCAAGCATATCTCTTAAGTTTGAGCCCTGCCTGTTCTACATAATGAGTTCCAAGCTAGCCAAGGCTATATAGTGATACCCTGTTTCTAAAATAATGCAGTTAAAAAGCATAAGAGACTGGCAAGGTGTTTTAGCAGGTAAAGGGCTTGTTAAATAAGCCTGATAACCTGAGTTCACTTCCCAGAATCCATGGAAAGGGAGGAGAGAATGGACTCTATAACGTTGTCTTCTGACCCCAGCCCATGCACCGTGGTATACACACCCATCCACACACATATGTTCCTTCAGAGAGGTGTACACACGTGAGTGCAGATGCCCTTGAAGGCCTAAGACCCCGGGTCCATTGAAGCTATAGTTAACAGATGATTATAAGATGCCTAATACAGATTCTAGAGCTAAAATCTACTGAACCATCACTCCAAACCCAATAAAGGGCAAGGATGCAGGTATTCTGTTAAAGTCAGAGCAGAGAGTGCTGTAGAAGCACCATTCTTGCAGTCAGGAGGGGGAAGAAAGTTACTATGAATTAAATTAGCACACGAGTGCTAAAGTCTACGTGGCAGTCAGTGCTCATTCCACCTTAAGGGGGCTCAAGGCTTAAATGAATTATCGATGAATCATAACCGTTGTGTTCTTGTGGAAGCCAACACCTTTCGTAGGTGGGACTCCATCAAGTAAGTTTGAAGCAATATTTTTTTTTTAACTGCACTGTCTGTTGTTTTGCAAGACTTCAGGATTGTTTTCATCTATTGTGTTTGTTTTGTTTTGTGTAGAAACACTTCGTGCTGCTTTGTGGGGCTTTGGAAAAGCATGTTAAGTGTGATATTAGAGAAGATGCAAGACTTTTCTACAGAACTAAAGTAAGTATATTATTTGTGGTGGGTGTGTAGGCATACACATAATTTGGTGTACATGTGGAGGTCTGGGGACAGTTTCGAGTGTCATTCCTTGCTTCCTTCATACCTGATTTAAAACAGTACAGTTGGTCTTTTAGCTTCCAGTTATTACAGATGTGTACTGCTACAGCTGGCTTCCACTGATTCTGGGGATTCAAACTCCAGCCTCAAGCTTACATACACAGCAAGCACTTTTCCCACTGAGTGCTCGCCTCCTGTTTTTATGTATTGTTGATAATCCCAGCACTTGGGAAACTAAAGCAGGAAAACCTGGGTCCTTGGCTTTCTTGTGCAACACAGTGAGGCCCTATTGGAAGAAAAAGAAAATGTAAGCAATACACAAGCTCTTGAGGTGGGATGGGTGTGTGTGTGTGTGTGTGTGTGTGTGTGTGTGTGTGTGTAGGCAGGCTTGTGGTTATAGCTTAGTGATACTGTATTAAAGCTACTTAATTGGATACTCAGATATGTACTTACTTCAAAGAACATAAAAAAGACTTTTTTTTTTTTTAAGTAAAGACAGTCTACAGGGTCTCACTTTGTAGTCCTGCTGGCCTGGAATTCATTGTAGAGCAAGCTGTCTATGAACTCACACCAGTCCACGCACCTCTGCCTTCCAAGTGTTTATCACAGATATCTACCACTGTACCTGGCTTTCCTCAAGCTCTGCAGGGTTATTTTACATTCATTTATTTCCTGGGTGGGGGTGGGTATGCACAAATTCCAGTGTGTGTTTATTGGCTGGAGTATAGAGGTCACAGGAAAACTTGTAGGACTTGGTCCTTTTATTCAGTCATGTGGATCCTGAGGACCAAACTTGGGTTGTTAGGCTTTGTGGCAAATACCTTTAATTTTTGGTCTTCTTGCCTCAGCCTCCTGAGTACCAGGAGTGTTACTTACACTCTGGGTTAGGACTTGGTTAGTCAGCTTCTACTGAGTGTTTTGCTAGCTATGTTGAAAGTACAAATAAAAAGTAATCTCAAAGCAAATATATTTTTCACTTTACTATTTGTTCTGAAATTTCTTGACAGCCAAAGAAAGAATTTCTTTAGCACTATTGGGACTTTTTGTTTTCTCATTATACAAGTTAAAGCCCGTACGTGGGGTATAGTTAAGTGCCTGCTGCACAAGCGTGAGCACCTAAGCTTGGATCCCAGCACCCACGGAAAGAGGAGTGCTAGCACACAGCTGTGCCCCTGTGCTGAGGGAGGGGCAGAGGCAAGGGGGGCCAGCTCACCCGTCAGCATTGAGCCGGTCTTTGAACTCTAAGTTCATGAGTGACCTTGTCTCAAAAACTAGGGTTGAGAAGGATGAAGACGCTCTGTCTTCCACACACACTTGGTCTCAGACACAAAGCCTTGGCCTCAGAAGGATATTCTGGAGTGTGACTAGTTACTGACATATACATGCAGTGCTTTTGGCTGTTGCTGACAGACATCCTAATAGGGACCACGAAGGTTTAGATTTCATTCTTTTTTTCCTCTTACATTTTATTTCCTACTTGGGAGATGGGTGTGTGCCACATTGCTCATGTGGTGGGGGTCATAGGACAGCTCACAAGATGGGTCCACTGTTTCCATGATGTGGGCTCCACACGTGGAACTCAGGCCACCAGACTTTCACAGCAAGTGCTCTTATCCACTAAGCCATTTCGCTGGCCCAGGAACGCTGTCGGCAGAGTCACTGGCCCTGTAAACTGCTGCAGGGCATGATCTTCTTGAAATAGGTTAGGAGCTTCCTGCTTCCCAGAACTTCTGTAGACAAGTGGTGGTTGTCTTTAAGACAGTTTTCTAAACTTTACATAGTGGAGAAAAGTGGAAAGTTTAACTTTGTTTGTTTGTTTGTGTGTTTGTTTGTTTCAAGACAGGGTTTCTCTGTGTAGCCCTGGCTATCTCAAGAAGTCCTCTGTATACCAGGCTAGCCTCAATCCACTTGACTCTGCCTCCTGTGTCTTCCTGACGTATGGCCAGGAATGTTAGATCAGTTCTTTAATATCAGCACTTGGGAGACAGGTAAACAGATCTCAGAGAGTTCAAGGCCAATCTGGTCTACATTAACCAGTTTTAGGCCACAGTTTTAGGCTACATAGTGAAAATATGTCTCAAAATTTTTTTTCTGGCTTGTTTAAATATCTTATTCTAGGTGTGGTAGAGCATGCCTGCAGTCCCAGCACTTGACAGGTGGAGGTAATAGGGAAAAGTCAGTCAGCCACAGCTGTATAGGGGAAAGTAGGAACTTCTTTGAAGGCAGAGTTGTGGTTCTCTAGACCATCTTTACTAACAGGAAATCAGGCATGGTGGTGCATTGCTGTAACTCCTGTACTCAGGAGGCAGAGGCAAAAAAATGCTTTAAATGTAATGTTAACTGGGCTGGAGAGATGGCTCAGCAGTTAAGAGCACTGATTGCTCTTCCAGAGGTCCTGAATTCCATTCCCAGCAACCACATGGTGGTTCACAACCATCTGGAATGTGATCCGATGCCCTCTTCTGGTGTGTGTACAGTGTACTTGTATACACTTAATAAATAATATAAATAATATTTTTTAAAATGTAATGTTAACTAAGGCTACATAGAGCAACACTATCTCATAAAAAAAATTTTAAAAGAGAAATTTAAGACTGGAGAGGTGGCTTACTGTTAAGAGAACCGACTGGCCTTCCAGAGGACCTGGATTAGATTTCCAGCACCGACATGGCAGCTCACAAGGATCTGTCTGTGATAACTCCATTCCAGGTGATCTGAAGCTCTCTTCTGGCCTCAGTGAGGAATGAACAAATGTGCATGGGGGTAAAACACCCATATGCATAAAATAAAAGAAAATTAAGGATGGGAGTGATGGCTCAAACCTTTAATCCTAGAACTCAGGAGGCAGGGGCAGGTGGATCTCTTGAGTTTGAGGCCAGCCTGGTCAACATAGGGAGTTCCAGAATAGCCACAATTATATTGAGAGACCCAGTCTCAAAAAGCAAACAAAATTAAGTCATAATCACTTCACATTTTAGATTATAAAAATGTGTTATCATTTGAAAGCCTCCCCAAAAGATGAGTAGCCTTTTTATTGACAGCAATCAAGGAGGATTGTTGGGTGCAAGCCTGTGAAGCTCTGAGGTACGGGTGGGGCGTGTGTATTTAATCTTGCTGCTTTGTTTTGTTGAAGCAGGATCTCCCAGCAGCTCAGACTGCTCTTGGACTTTGAGCAGTCCTTCTGAGTGCCGGGTGCACAGCGTGTCCTCCATACATAGCTGTGGACACTTTCTATCGTGCTCAATTGGTCTTAAATGAGGATACTTTGATCTGATATCTCTTTCTCTTTTTGTTATTTTTAAGGTGAAAGACTTGGTTGCCAGAATACATGGAAAATGGCAAGAAATAATCCAGAACTGTCGGCCTACTCAGGTGTCATTTTTATTTAAGTTTTATTTATTATGAAAATTCCTGCATGCTGTGTGATTTGTGTCTGAATTTTAGAGTTTGTTTCCTTTCTGTCCATTATTTTCAGAGACTTGCACCCACTTAAAAGTGTCACAGTGAATCAAGTGCAGTAGGCTAGCACGAATACTTCTAACAGTTGTTAAGATAAAATGTGTGGTGCACAATTCACCACACTGCTCTGCAGTCCCTGCCCATTCCTCCACCACCTTCAGCCCTCTCTTTGCTCCCCGTGAGATGCTTATCTGTTTTCTGTGGAGATTTTCCTCTTGTAGATCTTTCCTGCACACGAATGAAGTATGTGGTCTTTCATGATCAGCTTCTTTTACCTGACAGTGATAAATGTTGTAATATGTATATCCTTTCTATTGCTAAATGACATGTGTAACACTTAGTTTATCCACTTACAAAATGAGCATGAGTTGTTTCTGCTTTCTGACCATTAAGAATAATGTACAAGGGACTGGTGAGATGGCTCAGTGGTTAAGAGCACTGACTGCTCTTCCAGAGGTCATGAGTTCAAATCCCAGCAACCACATGGTGGCTCACAACCATCCACAATAAGATCTGATGCCCTCTTACAGGGTGTTTGAAGACAGCTACAGTGTACGTACATGTAATAAATAAATAAAAACCTTTAAAAAAAAAAAGAATAATGTACAAGTATTTGTGAGTATGTTTTCAAAGGAAAACATCTTGAGCATATTCTTTGGTAGGATCCTATGTTTTATCACCTTTCAGTGGTCAGTGTGTGTGCCTACCATGTTCTAGCCAGGTGTAGTAGGTGTTACCTCTTCCTCTCCTGCTGGCAGTAGAGGTATGCGCCACCACACCTGTTCATTCTGAACTGAGGATCAAACCTAGGACCCTGTGCATGCTGGGAAGACTTCTGTTAGCTGAGCTTGAAGATGTCCTCAAGCTCCCTTTGTGCAATGTGAGACTTTTTGTTGTTGTTTATTAAATATTTTGTGTGAGGCGGTGATTTGTGTTCATGTTTGTCTGTGTACCACTTCTACGCCTATAACCTTGGTGGCCAGAATAGTATGTCAGATCTCCTAGGATTGGAGTTACAGACATTCATTGACTGTCATTTGGTGCTGGGAATTAAATTCAGGTCCTCTGGAAGAATAGTCAGTGCTCTTAATTTCTGAGTCATCTGTCTAGTTCCCTCAAAATTTTAAGGTTACTTTGCTGTGCCAATGTGGCATTAATAGCAAAACTTAATGCTAATCAGTTTAACACATTAATTTCTTTAAATACATCCCTTTGTGGGTGTGCCCATGAGAAAAATACCCTATATTTATATTATGCATTTTTACTACTAGGTCATAAAATGTAAAGGTTATAAAATCAGAAGAAATTTTCAGTTGCACATGGTTGCTTCGTGCTTTTAGTCCCAGCACTTGAAAGGCAGATGCAGGCAGGTGTCTGTGAGTTCAAAGTCAGCCAGAGCTATACAGTAAGACCCTATCCCAAAAAAGAAAAAAAGATTTGTTTTCAGAGATGTGTATATATAATGATTTTATTAACTTTCATTATCAAAGCCTGCTGTCCAGGGACTAGTAGTTTTAGAAGGATTAATTTATAATCTGATTAAATTTTTCCTTTTTTTCTTTTTTCTCCCCCTTCTCTAAGGGGCAGCTTCATGACTTCTGGGTGCCAGATTCGTAACAGAAGCAAAAAGCAGCAAAAATACAAAATTCGAAGGGCCTTTCCAAGAGGATTACTGTGGAATCCAGCAGATGCTGAGGAACACGGCTGTGTGCCACCTGCATGTGTAGTGTGAGGCTGGTGATGAAGACTTGCCAGTTTCTGAAGCAGATATGAAATGCCATCTGCAGCGACTGTAGTGGAAAGACCAGGGATCAAGCAAAGGAGGGGAGGCTAGAAGCAGCTGATAGCTGCGGATCCAGCCTGCCCCTCCTGGCACCTCTTGATAAGTTGTCAGCAGTTATCTTGTAAGGTGGCTTCATAACACTTGGATCATCACAGAAATAAGGAAGAAAAGTGTGGACCAGCTTGCGTTGGACGTTGAAATGAAGGCCTACGTCCAGCTGATTTTCATTTCCCTTCTGGTTATTTTAGGGTGCAAAGGGAAGGCTTAGAATAGAGCCCTGTAATTAGAAGTGTTGGTCTCTTCTATAACTCCATAAACCGTAAGCAGTTTCAGCCCATATATATCCTTTAGTATTCAAGATTATAAATCTGAGATTTTTAAATATATTTAAAATCAAGGAACAGACATCTGGTGTGTTGTCAGACTGCCCTTAGAGGAAGAGATTAAGCTACAAAGTAGTGACTGTTTTTAAAGTGCCAGAACATCCATAGGCAGTTTGTTTAGGGTTTCTTGTAATGCATATATTTTTAAATACTGGTTTAATCATAAACTCTCAGCTAAGCTAGAATTCTGGCCATTGGTAACTATATTACAGAAGTCTCTATAAAAGGCTTAAAAATCTGGAAATTTCCAAAATCCTTGTTTCCACAAGTATATAATTTAGCAGAGGCCTTGATGGTGTTTATTTTGGGGACTGTGTGTGTGTGTGTGTGTGTGTGTGTGTGTGTGTGTGTGTGTGTATGCGCGCTCGTGTGCATGCACACTGGAGTTTGTATCTTGAAGTTGTTGCACTTGAAAACCACAGCTGCTCTAAATTCTTTTAAACACTGGAAAGCCATCCTTTAGTTTAGATGGTAGAGGTTAGCAGAAGTGCACATGCTAGATTGAGCCTTAGGCCCTTTGAAAACCTTGGTAGTGACACTCCTGCTGACCAGTGTCAGTTTGGGGAGGGTTTACTTCCTAAAAAGGATGCCAACTGCTTATTCTTTGAATATTGGCTGGAGCGAGCGGCTTGCTCCCTCCTGAGCGTGCTAATGTCTGTGTGGGTCCAGGTCGGGGTGGTGGGAAAGGGAGCTGGGCTCAGTGTTATGGTTTGAGAGGGGAAAATAAGTTCTGAGAGCTAACTTTCTACCTCTAAACTGAGGCTTAGGAATAAAAACCATTTTCTCTTAAATTCATCATTTAAAGTAGCATTAGCAACTTTAGAGCTCATGTCAAGCATTGGGCAGTTAGAGGTTTCCTAGGGAAGACTACACAAATCACATTTTCAAGAATTGAGGCTGATCGAGGCTCCAAGAGTCAGACCAACAAAGGTTTTATTCTGTGTTGAGTTTACTGGTAAGAATATTGTCTTGATGCTACCTCTCAAGGGTATTGTTACAAATGCCACTATGGTTAAAGAGATAGATACGAAGAGTTCTATTTGACTGAAGCTTGAAACTCTGGCATCTATCTGCCCAACAGTGGGGCTTTCACTCTGTAATTTAATACCTTGTAGATACATTATTTGTGTGTAATTTTATAAGTGTTCATATTTTTCTCATTTTGCATTGTGTAAAGTGTACAAAATCTCAAAGTATAAAAATCTGCTTATATTGCTTGTAATTACAGTGTGTAAATATTTTCTATTGTGTACATTGACGGGGACAAGTGGGTTATTCAGGTTTTTAAGTGATCCTTTTATATTGCAGTTTCAACCAATAACCACCCATCAAATTTAAAACCACTTTGATACATTCTTATTTAGCAGTTCCAATAAGAATAAAATCTCTATTTTTAATTGTCTTTCTCCATTAGAGAAAAATACTTTATCTGTCCCTTTAAAATAAATGGCCAGACATCAGTTTAGGCCTCTGTATTTATGACTCTGGTAGCACTCAGTCTTCAGCCTCCAGGTCATAGTCCAGTCAGTATTTACATTTGGTTCTCGTGGAAATGTTGTGGTTCTATTTTAGCACAAATAGCTCATGGTTTTCCTCCCAAATCAAGTATTTTCCATCTCCTTCCGAGTCCCCATGCATTGGCTCCCTCTGCCTGTTGTTGCCCAGGAAATGGAATGGGAGAGAGGGAGAAAATGCTCATTGCACAGAGACTGTCAGGCCATACTTGGGACTTGGCAAACAGAGCTTGCACTGAGTGGTGGTGTGTTTGGCAATATTACTGTGCCAAAAATAATCCTTGTCTAATTTTCTGGATGTGTATGTCAAACTTTTTACCCTTACTGCAAGCTGAAAATTAAAGTACTTGTGTTTCTGCTTTTGTGTGTAACTGTTTGCCTTTTCTGACCTGCTTTTCTTGTTACCTGAAAATACAGTTCTGTAATCCATGTTAAGTGAAGAGGCTTTCTGTGCACAAAATCACCTGTGTAGCACTGAAGTCAGTGGTGTGCATTGTTTTGTCTGTGTCCTGATGGCAACGGTGCCTTTGTCACCTTTCAGAAGGTTGGCTTTTTTTTTTTTAATGCAAGTAGTAGCTTGCTTTTGACTTCACAAAAAAATATATATATGTATCTCCCCAGTAATGATAGATAAGATAGTTACCACCCAGGCTCTGTTGAAGCATTTGGGGTTTTTTGTTTGTTTGTTTTTGTTTTAGGTTTTTTTTTTTCTTCCTCTGTCCCCCCAATCAAACAGTTGGTGGGGGCAGTAATGATGTGTGGAGTCTAGAAACCAGGAGTATTTTTAAGTTTAAATCTGACTCATTGACAAGCAGCTGAGTTGGAGACCTTGGCTTGTCCCTCAGGAGGCAAGGGTCGGGTACAGGTGGTGGGTGTGTGAGTCAGTCAGCACAATTCGATCTCGTGGGTATGCTGACTCTGTGGTGCAGGAGCACCTCATCTGTGCCTCAGTTTCCCCGGGGCATTCTTGTCAGCCAGTTAATCTACTAGCTCTTAGGCAGTAAATGCAATGTGTTGTGTTTTTTTTCCTTTAAAATTTTATACTGTCTTGTTTAAAGTCTTCTGAATGTATGTGTATGTGTTATTAAAACTTTTTTCTCAGCTTAATATGTGTCTGGTAACATTTGATTGCGCAGTAGAGGTGGTCGAGTAAAGTACCCTGTTTTAAACTTGTTTTTAGCTTGGTGCCCTTTTTTAATCTGTGGGAAACAAAGCCACAGCTCTCCACAATTCATGTTTTCATAGCCCAATTAATAATTTGCTGTGTACTTTACAGTCAGGAGTTTAATAATCTCATTCTTACCTCATTCTACACAACCATTTGGCTGTTCTTGCCTACCTGCATGGTAGGGTTTGGTGGTGAACAACACAAAATCATGACTCTTACCTTACCTGCTGGTATCCAGGGGAAACAGAGAGGAGGGGAAGAAGTACCCGCGACCTGGGTGTCTCTAAAATTCTAGAACCCAGAATCAAGAAAAGTGATGCCATACAATGCAGGAGGGTTCAGAGCCACCTGTGACCTGGCGGGCAGGTTTGTGACATGCCATCTGTGGAAAGGCTAACACCTCATACGAGAAACGCAGGAGCTCTCAGTAGGCTTAGGCATAGTTGCCAAAGTCATGGTGCTGTAGCTGTTTCCGCCTTTATGGCAGACCATATTGGAAAGATGGATGCTGACGGCCCAGGTAGAAGCAGACATGGGTATAAATACTAGGAATAGTCACCGTGTTTAAGGAAAGGACCTAGGCTTGGCCTCAGGTCTCAAGATTGACCACACTGACCATTTGACCTTTGTTGACATGAGTTTCTTCTATTGAAAGGAATAACCCTTATTTCATGTTTTGTGAGGACTCATATACATGGCAGTCACTCAACACAATGTCTGGCATGCAACATGAACAGAACAAAGACGACAAGGTTGAGGCTGGGCATCGTGCATTGTGATCGCCTTTATCCCAACACTCAGGGAGGCAGAGGCAGGCAGATCTCTGAGTTCAAGAGCAGCCTGGCCCACAGAGTGATTTCCAGGACATCCAGGGCTACATGGAGAAACCCTGTCTCAAAGGCATAATAATGTTTTTAAAAAGACAAATTTAATGGAGCTGAAGAAGATAGTTCAACAGTTAATATGGTTGCTCTTCCAGAAGCTCTGGGTTCAATTCCCGTTCACCCGTGTGATAGCTAACAACTGTAACTAGTTCCAAAGGTTCCTATGCCCTCTTCTAGCCTTTACAGGCAAAAACACCCATGCTCATAAAATATTAAGTTAATTTTTAAAAGAAAATTGACCAGTGGGTGTGCTTACTTCTAAATCAGGCCTCCCAACAGCCGTAGCTGGAAAGTACTGTTCCTTCAGACCCTAGGAACTCTGGATGCTTCCCTGTTCCTGCTGCCAAAAATATGTTAAATAAATAAACCAAGCATGCTGACCTGGTGTAATAACTCATACCTATGACCCCAGCACATGGGAGGCAGAGGCAGAAGGATCACAAATTTGAGGTCATCCTGAGCTACAGTGTAAGACATAGTTTTAGCCACCAAACATGCTTGATGGTGGTGGATGGTTTCCCAGCATCTGCAGACATGTCTTGACACTCCCTTCTGGCTAACCAGGGCTGGAATCGGGAGAAGGCAAACCAGAAGGTCCAGCTTTGGATTTGACTCCAAGACAAGTGGCTAGGATTCTGGAAAACTTAACAGGCAAAGCAGGCGTCTGGGGCACAATAAGACTACAGCATTGTCGGACAGGTGTCAGTCACTACTGAGGAAGTACTTGTGGCTGAAAGATCACATTCTCCATAAGGATAGTGCTGGGCAACCAGAGATGGCAAAGCAGGAGCCAAAACCACCACAGTGAACAGGAGACAGGACATCTTGATTAGGCCAGGGTTCTCATGCCTCGAGGACCCCTGAGATCCTTCCTCTTCCTGGGTCACCAACACAACGTAACTTTTGTATGCCCACCCTAGAGCCAAACCACCCCTGAGATGTGTGTCTGGCCACCAGTGTCAGACACACTCAGATGCTTTATCTTACAGCAGAACTGGGGAAGATAGGTTAGCAGAAGTGAAGTTTGTTGGTGTTCTCCAAAGAATTTTGAATGGCATCCTTACACATCTACCCTGTGAAGCAGCTGGCAGTGACTTGGAGGATAGATAACACCCCACTTAACAAATGATCTGCCTTGTGTCCCAGGGAAGAAATCACTACTGTATTAGAACTAATTTTTTTTTAATTTTGTTTAGTTTTACTTTTTAGATAAGATCTTAAAGTCCAGGCTGGTCTTGAAATTGTTAAATAGCTGAGGGTGGCCTTGAACTGAGTTTCCTGCCTCCCCAGCTGAGATCAGGCGTGTCCCACCAAACCTGTTTAAATTAGTGCTAGCTTATTTGTTTTGGCTTCAAGTCTTATCTCTTTCACAGTAAGGAATTTTCCTTTTATCAGCTTATTGCAATGAGTAAGAGTTGTCTGTCAAGGGAGTTTCCTATAGAAAGGTGGGATGCTGAGATCACGTGGGAAGAGAACAGAAAGAAAAGGATTGTGTACTGAATCCGTCTTACCAGCAGTACTGCCCATGGCAGTTTCACAAGTGCCATTCTAGAACTTGGCTTCGAAATCACACATTTCACTTCTTTTAAAGAAACCCGCTGCTGTGTTTAGCATGCCTTGGACCTGGAACTCTGACTCGGGTAGAGAAAGAATGAAGAAAGGATATACACACTGGGATTGGTTGGGCTGTGTTCACTCTGATGGTGTAGCACTCCAGGCACCAATAACTGGATCCTTGGTGGGTGTATCATGTACAGCACAGAGGGGAGTAAGCTTATCTTCGTAGGCTCATCTATTGGGGAGCAAGCTCAGATCACAGTCATGCAGGAGGAGGAAGCTGCAGTTGTTAGATTTTGCACACACTGGTCAATTATTCTTAGTTGCACACGCTATTGTACTTGCACAAACTCCCAGCATCTGCACTGGACCAACTGAAGGCTCAGGCCACCCAAGGGCATCTGAGGTACTGGAGTCCTCAACACACCATGCCCCTGTCAGCTAATACAGGTTCACTCAGGATTTGCTCTGCACTTTACACATCCACTGAAGGCTTCTTTGGTTCCCTTCAGCTCAGTGAGCTGCAGAACCGGCCACACTGGCCTGCTTGTTTCCTCCTGAGGGAAGTGCAGTCAGCACAGCAAGTGCTGACTTGGCAAGCCAGCCTTCTTAGCCTAGTGGTCCCTGCAGTTTCTCCACAATGCCAGGCACCAAGGCTGGCAGTCTTCTGCCCTCTTCCTTCCAATCCACTTTCTCACAAAGCCTACAGGTGTAGTTTAGCCATATCTTGATTCTACCTTTTCTGAAGTTCTGAGTTTTTCCAAGCCATTAGCTAACTTCTCTCCCCCTCTGTCTTCCACTAAGAACACCCCTATCTCACCAGATCAAACCCACCAACGTTTTGTATGCCCCTTCTCTTCTTCCATCAAACAACCCTGTCTACTCTAGTCATCTTCCTCAGGCTTGTCAGGCCCACCCTTCTTAGACTTCTCCAACTCTGTCCTCCATAAACTCAACAGAGTTCAAGGCAAGTTACAATCTGCTTAGAACCTGTTTTCCCAGCTATAAAATGAAACTACTACTTCCTCAGAATGGGATACTCCATAAAGTGTACTTGACTTGGACAGGTGAGATGGGCTGGCAAATAAAAGGTGTCTGTCACCAAGCCTGACAACCTCTGAGTCTGATATCTAGGCCCCACAGGATGGAAAGAGAACACACTCGCTGCAGTTTATCCTCTGGGATATTGCACATGGGTGGTGTCGTACGTGCATGTACGTGCTTTCATGCAAAATAAATATAATACACGTCTAAAGTGTGTGCACTTTTTAATATAAGCATTTCTCCCAGCCTCCCCCGCTGCACCACACGCCATCCTGCTTGCAGAGTGCCAGGAGACATTCTCACAGGGGGTGGAAGTGTGATCTGGGCCCTTCTGTCTAGCAGTCTGCAGCCACGAACACAGTCCCACAACTCTGAGATTGTGTGGAACTGAGTGCCAAACTGTATGAGCTTTGGGGAATCCTGGAAGAGCAATGCAGTTTCTTCCCAAGCTCTCATCAGTTTCATACGCCACTAGAAGCCAACTCAAACTCCTGGGCACATGCAAGAGTCTTCTTTTTAGACTCTTTTTTTTTTTTTAAAGATTTATTTATTTTATTGTGAGTACACTGTCGCTGTCTTCAGACACACCAGAAGAGGGCATCAGATCACATTACAGATGGTTGTGAGCCACCATGTGGTTGCTGGGAATTGAACTCAGGACCTCTGGAAGAGCAGTCAGTGCTCTTAACCACTGAGCCATCTCTCCAGCCCCTGCTTTTTAGACTCTTATTTGGTCCTCTTTGCCCATTATTATTGTCGTGGATTTTTTTTTTCCAAAGGTGGGGCGCTCATGGCCAGAGATCTTGTTTCACTAGGATTTAAAGCTGAGTTCACTGTTGCTTTTGCTTTTGTTTTTCTGTGGTGCTGGCCATGAAACCAGAGCATACTACATGATGAGCAAACAACTGTGCCCTTGAGCCCCAACTCCAGCCCTAGATTCGCTCTAATAGCTCTTGGAAAGCAGGAGAGCCCGAGTTTTCAGGGAAGACCATCCTAAAGGAGTTAGGGAAGGAGGCTGAACCTGGCAAGCACAGACTATTTGGCTGCCTGGGAGCACTGAAAGTTTGGAGATGACGATGGAAAATGAGAAACGCAATCCCTGAGGTGAGCCCGGGTTTGGACTAAGATTTGTTGAGCGATCCAGGCGTAGCGGCATGGCTTACTTGTGCATAAAGAGCATCCTCCGTGTGCTGTCCCTTCATCCCTCCAGGCCCTCATCTCACCCACTCAGACCTCAAGCTGAGTAGCCTGGAGGGAGCGGGGAGCGAGGAATCACACCTTGAACTGGGAACCAGGAGCTACGCAGAAATCTGATACTGTCGTCCCCTTCAGTACGCCCGCTCCATAGACCAAAGGCAAGAGGGCATGGCAAACATGTTTTGCAAGAAGTGAGGTGCAGGTTAGAGAGCAGAGTACAAGACTCCAGGACCCGAGGTTTACGCGTCCCTGCAGTA